GCATCTCCTTTGTATATGCCACATTTGATGGACACTTGTGCAAGTGGTTTGCAGTTGGCTTCAAGGGTGGCTTTCCACAGCCTCATCGAGTTTGCAATGAAGGCTCTCAGAGTCCTGTTGATGTTATACATCTCTAAGCATTCAATGATCCAAATATGCAGCATTACGTCATAGGCTTTCTTGTAATCAATCCAAGCCATGCACAGGTTGGTGTGTCGGGTTTTGCAGTCTTGGGCAACTGTTTGTGTTTGGCTCCTCTACTATTTACACCGATACCTTTCTGTGCCGTGCTCATGTGTTTTACTATGTATTTGCTTATCTTGGCCGCTATGATGCCTCACATGAGCTTCCAGGTTGTGGAGAGCCAGGTTATTGGTCGGTAGTTGGGTGGGACTGGACCCTTTGATGGATCCTTCTGGATTAGGATTGCCCTAATCCAGAAGGATCTTGTTAACTGAACATTTTCAGTTAACCATTCAGGGTGAGTCCCACTTTGCAGCAGCTGGTTCATTTGGCCTGCCAGTCGCTCATGGAGGGCAGTGAGTTTCTCTAGCCAGTAGGCATGGATCATGTCAGACTTGTTTTTGCAGAAGACTATTGGTGCCTAGCTGGCTCATAATGATCTGATAACTTTCCTCCCTTGCCTGCGAAGCACAAAGTTAGTTTAGATAGATAGATAAGAACAACAATTTGTGATTAATTGGCTTGTTTTGGAAATCTGAAATGAAACAGATGTCTTCAAGTTCACAAGGTCGATTGGTCTAAAAAGGTCCAATACACACTCAGTGTAAGGGCTGCCAGAATGTTGATGTAAAACCAAAAGCAATACGTGGTTGGTCAAGACTTCCGAACACACACCAATGGAACATGGGAAGTATAAAAAGGTTGTTGTCGAGAATATGGAGAGATTTTGGGGAAATACTTTTGGAACTTTGATTTTGTATTGATGCATCCGTGGTAGGAGTGATAATAAATCTCCCGACCCATCGTGGGTGGCAGTAAAGGACACGTCTCTGAGTATTATTTGTTTACTTATATAACCAAGAGTTTTGTGCCTTTCGATTCTCCAATAAAGTGGTGAACCCTGACGTAAGAATTGAACCAAATCAAAGTTAAAGGAGACGCAAGGCAAAGCTCCAGACTGTCTACGGACCGAGACCGACTGGGCCCATTCAAAGAAAAGAGGTAACATTTTTGTCTCTTTTACATGCTAAATACAGAACGGTTTCCTGTCTGCTGGCAGTCTGAAGTGCTAAAAAGTGTGATGAAGTTCTTTTCTGCTTGCCATGGACGAGTTATCTTTGTGCAAAGATTGTGCTGCCAAAAATTCTGAGACTCATAGTTATTTTACACATTGGGACCAGCAGCTCGAAAAAATAAATACTGATCAGTCTGATTCTTGCCCGGTTTGGCGATGTTAACACAGGAAATCTTACTTTTTCCTTTTTACACCAGATCAGTCAACCTGGTGCAGTTCTTTGGAACAGGCACTTTCATTGAGCTGACAATGCAAATAAATATCACGATTTGTTAAATATGGCAAGAAGCCATATTTAACAGAAAACAGCTGAATCCATGAAGAGAGATTGCGATCTCTATAAAGGATAGGCCAGGAGGTAATTCTGAATCTTCCCTGGAAAAAAGAAACGGAATTCTCTATACTCATTCTCTCCAGTGAGAGAAATAACATACTTCTCTATGTGGCCTGAGATATTTGTATATGAAAAAGCATAGATTGGAATCTCTGATGTTGAAATAGGGGCCTGTAACAATTCTATGAGACAAACACTAAGAAGAAACAAGAATTCTCTGTGATGTTGTTTGAAAAAAAATAGTAAATGTTGTGCATATAGAAGTCTCAAAGCGTGGAAGGATGATTTTATGAGTAAGCTGCAGCATTTTGTTTTTAGTTTCTGTGTCTGAGATCTCTGAAAGAGGAGGTAGAGTGTTCCATTGCCTTGGCTGAGAATTGAAGTCCTAACATAATCAATTGTGTGCACACATGAAAAAAAATGTTTAGACAGTGGCCAATTTAATCAGTTGCCAACTTAACGTGATATTTTTATACCTTTATAACTGATATATTAGTCAATATAGTGATATCACCTAGAATCCCTGGGGAGGAGGAGGAATAAATACAAGACATAAAAATATAAAAGGATGAGTGTTGCTGAAATAAATGGCTGAATAAATGGGAACGCATGTTGTCTGTTGTGTAAGTATTGTATTGGCATGTGTTTTGTGAAATTTTAAGCAGGATCGGGGGTGATCGGTGATAAATAATGACAACACGCTGTTCTGCTAGAATAAATGTGTCCTTTTATTCCGCCACAGATTACAGCAACTTCATTCACACAACAAACAATACGCAATGCTTAGATTCTTTCAATCCACTCTTACCGCGACACAGTGAACCGGAGAGCCGACAGTTCAGGGAAGAGCTGCAGCAACACGTAATTGGGCGTCCGTACGTAACCCACAGCAGAGAGTCTACTCAACAACGACACTACTCTGACTCTAACTCAACAATGGAATTTTTCTGCTTTATACTCATTACCAAAACAACCTCGAATGAAAGAAGGGAATGGCCATTTCCTCTTCCAGACGGGTTAGCCAATCAGAATGCTACTTCCCTGCCCACCGACCATGAGCTCATTCCATGATTCAATCAACATACAGAACAAGTTCCACTTGGCCTCCTGTGGTCCATGTCTGGACCCCTCATTGTCCATGGGCTCCAGAGGTGACGATCATGAGCTCAGAGAGTTATCAATTAGCATACAGTAACCAGTTCCTTTAAAATGTGTTGAAAATGTATAAAATGAGCATGAAACATACAATTTATCAAAGAACATAGAAAATTAAACATACAATTTATCAAAGAAGATAGAAAATTCTCATATCAGCATGTCTGTATATACTGTAAAAATCTGAAAAGTGCATGTTTTGGGTAACTTAATGATTTACTGTTTTCAAAGTTCCGCTGAAACTGTAAATTGCTGTGCTCAGCTTAAGAGTTGAATTTTGGTCTTTATTTTTGTCTGCAACTGTTTCTATACCGTTCGTAACTGTCACTTCTTGCTGGGAATTTAAAGAAACAAAATGTACATATCTTTTTATTATAAAACTCACAAAAACCAGTGAGGGAATTTGTTGGGAGAAAGAAAAGAGTTTTTTGGTGGTTTGCCCAAAACATATACATACACCTCTCACTCAACCTTTCGCTCTCTCTCCCTTCACCCAATCTCTCTCTCTCCCGCTATATCTATAGATCTAAGATATATATGTTTATGTGTTGACAAAATGCATATATAAGGACAAGAAGAAGCAATATATATATTTCTGCTTTTATTTTTAATTATGTCAGTTTTGGTCCTCCACAGTGCTGGACAACAAGGCAGAAAAATATATAGATAATTTCTAATTAGTTTTTTTGTTTTAATACTGCCAAACTGGCAGTATTTAACTGTTGTGTGACCTTTCGTGTTTTATCCACTGCTTTCACTCAGCTACGAGGCACGGTGTCAAAACCTTAAATTGCTGTGCAGGTTCCCAACCAGTTGTTTCTAGGTAACCACAGAGTGAGTGAGTTAGTTGATGCCACTCTCCTTGCAGGGCTTACTGGGCCCTGAGAGGTTGAGCAGCTAAAGCCTCTCCTCACCCTACATCCCCCAGAATGCTGTGAGTTTTGGATTGGAGTTCAGTGAATTCTATATATTGAATATTCTGTCAAACATAATATTTATTGATATTGGTCATTTGTGTATTGTGATATATATTTTTATTAATTTATTACCCAGTCCCACACACAAGGATGGTGGCATTTTGTGACATTTGAACCATTAAGCATGCCAATTCAAACTATCCAGGAATCATATTTTAGTTCCAAATACATCAATACATCAGTGTGTAATTGATTCATTGTCATTTAGGCTGCAAATGGTTTCTATTTGGTCTTTCAATTTCTCAAATGGTTATTTAGCTTCTAACTCTGGATCCTTCAGGTACTGAAACTCCTTTACTAGGTGACCTACACATCAGCCCACTTCATTATGTGCAAATAATATGCAAGTCCAGGACGTGTGCCTTTATCTTCATTGAAAGATAAACACCTCTGTTTAGTGTGTTCCTTGACCTTCATGAAATTATTAACTGATATGTTCACTGTTAAACTCCAAGGAGCTTTCTTAGCAGCTGTATTTGTACTGAGCTTAAATTGCTGGACTATATTTACAAGTAGTCAGTAGGTAATTTTCAAAAGACATTGGTTGCATTAATTTTGATTTAGGGGTGTCAGAAGAACACACAGGAGACATTGTTTTTGTAGTATTCTGTTCCCTTTACTCTGTCACAGAATATCTCCATGAGATGGGATGTCATTATGTGATTGTCTACTGAACTTTCTACAGGTCTACAGAGGAGCCAATGGAGGAAGAGCCTGTGTTGTAAAAAGGAGCTGACCTGAAGCACCCAAAAACACCTTCACCTCCTTGTAACACCTTCTTGTCCTCCTGTTCCTGCTCCTCCACAGAGTGTGTATGTACACCAACACACACACACGCACATGCGCGCACACACACATTCACAGTGTGAAACTGAATTGTTGTGGAGATCTCAGTTTGGCTGAGAACATCCATGTAAGGCAGGCAAAGGCAAGTCCTGTACACAACAGGGGCACCTCTCTTCTTCTGGTTCATCCATCCAAGGATTCGCAGACGACTTGTTCGCATCTTCATGGAAACCAAAGACGAGGAGCGTCAGCAAGGTTGTAATTTCTGTACACAGCATCGCTGAACCTTGTCCAGTCGTTCTTCTTTTATATTTCCTACCTACTCCTTTGTTTCCACTGAGTGACTTTTACTGTGGAAACAAAAAACTTTAATATGGTCAAAATGTCCGACAATAAGCTGACGACTTGTCTTCTTGTGTCTGTCAGAGAAAACGAGTAGTCACTTTTTGGAAGGTTGACCCATTTTACAAGAAGCGGGAGAGCAAGAACTCCAGGTGCCTTTTTTCTGTCTGACACAAACTATTCAATCAGAATCCACACATCACTGCCAGTGCACCTCAGCCAACCAAGTAGACCACGAAGACTGAAGAACCAGCCAGATAGTGCACATACACTGCTGTTGTTTCAGTCGCTCAATGTATATTTGTTTCATCATCTGAATGCCTTAGTTTTTCTTTTCTTTTTTTTTTGTGACAAAGATGAGTAGAGGGGATCAGAAGAACTCATAAGCTGTAATCTTTCCAAGTATTCCCAAAATACTTATTTAGTGTTTCCTAAGAGTTGTACCAGTGGAAATGTTTGTCAAAAAGCTTATATGAGTGTTATTATTGAAGTTAATGTAATATAATGATACTGAGGAAACAATCTCAGGATCAGCTCATCTTCTACAAAACTAGACATTATACTGCAGCCCTTCAAGCTCACTTTGTTGTTTCTGTTGAAAGTCATGTGACCTGAGTCCCACCCCTTTCTATCCTTCAAAAATTTTAGATTGTGGCACTTTTTAAAATACCACAATTGCCACCTCTTCTTTGTTTTTTTATTTTGAGTGCAACATTTTTCTCTTGCTGTAAATACCGTCCACCATCCTGATGTGCATGGCAACATCACAGCATCTATATGGTTGGTTTGTTTTTGCTATATCTGTACATACTTGTATGTATAAACTACAGAATACTTTCTCTTTTTGTATGACAAGCAAAAATAATGTGTAAACTGTTTCCTCCAATCATAAGATTTATGAATATACACTATTTGAGGATCCAGTGTTTTAAAAGTTTGGCTATTTGACAGAAAGTTGGTGCACGGCTTGATGGCACCTGCTGTCACCGCAGCCTGCTTGTTGTTTGTTTACAGATCCCAAGGGACAATAGGATGTTGAATCTTTTTGGAGGAGAATGTTGCGCTCAGGTTCCTCTGGCAGGACCACTGCTCTGTACTGCCCTCCTTAGGCAAGCAGCAGGATCTACACATAGAAGGTGTTCAAATCAAACGTCATGACTGGCTTAGTAGGTGGGTCCAGTGACTGTGACTTTGTATTCCAACAAATCTTCACAGCATGTTGCTAAATCCCAGACATGTTATATATGAGAGATCGGACGGATGGTAGCAATGTTCAGACTTCCTCTCCACGATAGACAGAAAACTAATGTGTCCTTCAAAGTAGGGTTTGTGTCAATGAACTTCTTACAAGCAATTAGTCCTTTTAAAGTAGAACCCACATGCTCTTTGATGTCTTCATTTGTTAGTACATTTATTAAACTTCACACAAACTTTACAAGTATAGTGAAACAGCGTTTGTGAAAAGGGTCACCAATAGTGCAAAAGATAAAGAATGCAGAGTTTGTCAGCGACCATTTTAGCTTATGTGAATGCAGACAGGTGAAAAAATAGTTAGGGTGCCAATCCATAGTCAGCAGGTCACTTTGGTTTTTAACATTCTTGTTTGTAAAGGTTGCTGAAGACATTTTTCATTAATTAAATACTTTAAATAATAAAATTGTCCCAAATAATGTATTGATTTAAACTCCAGACTGGTAATATGGCTTCAGCTGTAAAACTTCTACATATATACTGCTTCATTCTACATGAGCTATCATGTAACCAGATTGAGTAAAAACCACAGTATTGCTGTTGATAACTACACAAAACAATCGAACAAAAATATTTAACTTGATCTCATTCCCTTTTAAAAGCCCATAACATTACAACTTTAGCTGTATCTCATTGAAAAAAACAAGCATGACATGTTGATATTATCTGGGTAATCTCCTCATGTAGCCAGTCTGCAATAGGCTGCTTCAGTAATATTCTTCAGGAATATGTACAGTTTCAAGACAGCATTAGCTTGAATGGTCTTGACATGCCTTGCCAGACTGGCCAGCTGTTAGGACATTCTGGATGCATGTTTGCCCATCTTTATGCAGAATTTCTGCTCAGAGACCGTGTTTTCACCTCAGCCTCACAACTCGACGGTGTAGTTGTCTTGTTACAGCAAACTGAGCATCGATTCACAGAAAAAGATGGATTAGAGACTGTACACTGTACCACAAACAAACTGATTTCTTTGCCACTTTCACTGGCCTCTCATTAAAAGGACTTTAAACTGTCAGAATAATTTGGAAACATGTTGACTATCTAACCTTAATTTGAGTTTGTGCCTCATTCATAGTGTGCATATGTACGAGTGGCTCAACTGCCAGATGATGTTAATATATTCATCACAAACGGTTATTGCTTATTTCAGGTCAAAAAGAAGGTAAATGTTGTGTTGAATGTTGACCTTCAATATGCTAACTTTAGCAGTTAGCAAGTGCTAATCGCTAAACATATCCTTCCTGGGATTAAACTAGTATTTAAACAATTACAAACAGTTCTTGTTTGTAATTTGCAATGAGTAACTTCATAAATTGACAAACCCCATCAACTCCTCAAGTTGCAAAACCTTAAAGCTGGACCTATCTATTAATCAGTGCTGTAAGAACATTCTATAGAGACATAGAGAAGCTCACACTTAACTAGGCATGCTGCAATAGACACTTCAACCTTTGGGTTACATCCATTTAGCAATGTCAGACCAACAGAATGCAAAAGATCAATGTATCCCACTTCAGTGTTGATGTGCACAACAGATAGCATCACTGCCTACATAATTTGTGGTTCAGTGCTGTTTGTATTTCTTATCAGGCTGGACTGATGGAACAGATTTATGGCTTTATGCTATTTATTTTTTATTTTATTTTTTTTTTGTCTTTCTGCACTAGTAGACAATCCCATCTCTCAAACTGTCAGTCACTAATATGAAGCCTGACTTTTGGGCCAGGGAACTGAAAGCTAAAATTCACCAATAATTATGATGATGCAGAATGCTGACCATATATTAATATGTTTAATATATTAAACTGACATTTAAATAAGCACAAATCAATCGAAGGGATGATTTGGATCTTTAAAGTGAAGGTAGTGCCAGTTATAGTTTGATAAACTGAGATTGACAGACAACATGTTCCTGTGGTATTCATAGAAAAACCTCATTACGGTGGGTGGATAGCAGTTAATCAGAGGATTAATTCTAGCCAGCTAAGACAAGTCAAACATAAAAATGCTCATATCTGTCAAATAACAAGCTATATTAGCAGATATTTAATATCTACACTTTTGCAAGAGTTGAGTTTGTTGCTTTGACAAATGAACAGCATCTGAGGCTGCATGCAGCACATCTGCCTGGATAATTCCCAAACAATTGCAAGGTTTTGATATACATTCTTATTCCCATTGGACAAATGGCAGCTCAACAGCAAAGTTAACTTTACGTTGGTGAATTTCACAGATTGGTGAGTGACAGCAGATTGAGACCACAAACACAATTGAGAGTGTAGAAAGCTAACAGTCAGATGGCACATTGTTGCAGCAAATTATTGCAATTCCAAACAACTTAAACTGCATGATCAAAAACCAATAATATATATTATCCATTTGTGAATAATTGGTATGATGGGGAAGGATGATTGCGAGGCGACTGCTTTTCCCACTGAGACATCACCCTATGCAGTATGTATTATCAAGTTAAACTGTTTTCGCAGTCAAAAAACGTCAATGTGATGGTGCAAAGCGCTATTGGCAGAGACAGCCAGCTGTTGGAGCGGGATCACTTCTGGAAAAGGACTGGAACATATTTGATGCCTCTGCACAAATGACACAAAATCCAGAGTTTAATGTCATTCTTAGCAGACTTTGACTGACTGTCGTAGCTCAGCTATGACAACTAGAATACAGGGACAAGCTTACTGATCGCTAGTAAAAGAGATACACAGCATTGTGTCCAACAGATAGAAACATTTTCAGTTTGAGTGGTTTTGAAGCATCTATCTGGGTAAGGATTTCCTTCAAGTCTCTGCAACCTCACTGACCTCTGGCCACATCAGGTAAGAGACGTGTCACTGATAACTTCACAAAACCTCACTTCAAAAGTTCCGAGCTATTCCTTTAATGCTGATGTGGATGAGCAAGCAGCAACTACCACCACATTCTGTTGAGCCCCCCATGCCTCCTGAAGTCAAAAGATTTTATATGCTAAATGTGACATTTCCTGAGAATTTGCTTACACTTTATGGCCGTTTAAGGAACTGCAGTATAAAAGTTTTAAAATGCATCATTTCCAGGTATGCTGTCACCACAACCTGAGACATTTCTATGAACCGTTGCTAGTGGAAACTAACAGTTTTCACATGTGTTTATTGTTTTACCCTAATAGTGTTTTATGATATTAGTTCACTGAGACCAAAATTCCACCAAACCTAAATGTGGCGATGGTTGCCACATACTGTGTACGCACATGTTGTCTCTCAACTCACATTTCTTTCTGACAAACAGAATGCAGAGAAAAAGTGGATAGACTGAAAGAAGTGTTTAGTGTTGTGAAGGTGTTTCACAGCTTTAATGTCGTCGTTATACACACTGACTCTTTTGCTATTTAAATTGATCCTGTATATTTCTTCATGTTTGAGCCCGTGGTGTAGCTGTTGTGTCCTGTAAAGCCATGTTGGAGGTGCAGGGGGTTACATTGGAACCCCAGGATTTTGGTTGGGAGTTTCTGGGGAGAAAGACATTCTCTCTGTTTGCTTTATTTCTTCACTGAAGAGTTTTCAGAAAACAGCATTTATTTTTGTTGTTGTTGTTGGAACTTATCACAAACACATTCCTGAATTTTCTCCATCCATGGTGTCATTTTTCTTTTGCAGATTACTGTTGGTAAACTGTCCTGTCTACTTCTCACTGACTCACATGTAAATAAATTTCATATTTGTGTTCACATGTGCAATACACGCTACTCAAGCAATCTGTTACTGTGACAAATATTGATATTTGCTACTTTTTGAAGTTTCAACCTATTTTTGCTCCTTATGGATTATGTTGCAAGATCTTAAAAAAAGGGAAAGTAACTATTGTGATTCTTCACACTCAATTTAAATTCAGGGTTTTGTTGACATTTTAATGAAGCCCTTTTGTTTTTAAAACACTCACTGTACTGTTGTCATGATTTATTTTTTAAAATTAATATTTTAAAGTGGGCTTGTTAAGTTTGTCTGGAAACTCAATAAAGCAATTCACGGACTGTTGCTGCTGTCTGTGTTTACATCAACTGTGATGGAAGCGTTTGGTCAAAATCATTTTTTGTCAGCAAAAGTTAAAGTGGGGGAAATAATCATTTGATCCCCTGCCATATTTTTACATGTGTCCCTACATGTAATTGTCTAGAATTTGATGTATTTCGTTTTGAAGTTCAATTTAAAAATGTTGAATAATGTTTATAATAAATTGGATTTGAATTTGACTGGGTAAAAAAGTCTTTTAAACATTACATCATCATTTCACAATAAATCAGACTAAATATTCTGTTTTATATAGCTAGGGGGATTTTTGTTAGTTAAATTAGGCAAAGTTTTATTTTTTTTCTTGCTGTAGCGATAAACAATAAATCAATTAATCACACAACAGATGAAAGTTGCCGACCTCATTTTAATTGATCAGATTTATTGTTTCTTCCTTGCCCTTTTTTCTTTCTATTGCTAACACTGAAGAAAGGATCAACTCCGGTTCTTTCCACTGACCGCTCCCTTCCTCTTTTCCTCAGTGTAATGCCCAGTTCACACTACACAATTTTAGAATTGTGTATGACTGCTACATCAATGAGCTGCTCTATGCTGCAGTTGGGGATATATTGTTTGCTGCTGAGCATAATCATTTTGTGACTAAAACAAACATTATTTTTTACATCAACTTCTAAGTTACTTGAAACTTCTGTGAAAATCATTTGAAGGCTCAGAATCAGTACCGGTACTGATCCACATTCTCAGTGTAGAAAGACTCGCCTGGTATAAATTACAACTAAAACAGTACATCTTATAAAAGTGCAATAAAAATATTTATTTTCCCTTCCGTCACTGGATTAAGTGCAGGATTAGCTGCAAGATGTCTTCGTGGAAAGAGGTGAATACAGCTAAAGGTGGATTCTGATGTAGAGTCTTTCATCATGGGAACCCTCCTCCTGCTTCACAATGTGTAGAGGTCCATGGTGGAGGGAAGGCTGCTCCCAACTGTCCACAGATCCTCTTCAGAACCAACCTCTCAGTAGCAGTGCAGCTGCCATGAGCTGCACTGCTCATGGCAGTGTGGTGGAGAGAACGCTCTCCAACACAGCAACAGAAGCTCCTCAGAACTGAGTTCTCATGTCCAGCTCTCTGCAGCTTTCTAAGAAAGTAGAGACGCCTTCTACGAAGGTCTTCTTGACCAGACGTGACATGTTGGCACTTCAGGTGAGGTCGCTATTAGATGGATAAAAAAAGTAATGTTTGGTTTTTCTTCTTTCTTTAAGCCACATCTCACCCTGTCCTTACAGATTCAGACAGGAGAAACTGCTCGGTAGTGTAAACATTTATGTAACGTAGTTTTAATAGTGTGTAAAATCAGCCATCTGATTCTCAGCCTCGAGTAACTGTAGAGATCACCTCTACAACATCTCGTCTGACATACAGGGACTGAACAGTCGGATAACCTGCTTGTCAGTGGTGCTGGGATCCTTGCATACAATCTAAGATAGTTAGCTGTTAGACCATATGAAAGGACATAACCACACATATCTAGCTGGCTAGATAGCCAGACCATAGTCAGACAGACAGAGAACTTTATTGTCATTGTATGCTGAAAGTAGTACAGTGAAATTGTATTGCTTGAAGCAAGTATAAAAGTTTACAGTTAAATTATAAGAAACAGTTAAAAACAAATACACAATAAAGGGAACACTCAAATAACACATCCTAGATCTGAATGAATGAAATAAATATGAAAATAATTTCCACCTGTTGTCTATTCCATTTGCACAACAGCAGGTGATATTGATTGTCAATCAGTGTTGATTTCTAAGTGGACAGTTTGATTTCACAGAAGTTTGATTTACTTGCAGTTATATTGTGTCGTTTGAGTGTTCCCTTTATTTTTTTGAGCAAAATATATTGATTCATCTTTTTGAAAGGCAATGAGTACAGTCAGTTCTGTCTTAAATTTTTAATGGTCCTTTATGATCTTCAGCATGGCTGTTTCCTGCACGCTACTTAAAACTGCAGTATGCATTGGAAATAAAAAAAATGACCTATTTGTTATAAGTATCAGTATGTCCTGACAGTGTAAGACAGATAACCTGTGAAAACATTGAGCTCCTCTGCCTTCTCCCTGTGGACCTGCTATCATCTGAACAAATACACTGCACTGTCAGAAACAACCAATCTGAGCCAGGAGGAGGGTCTTAGATCTCTCAATCACCCTCATTCATATAAGTGACTGCTCACAGTCCCCTTTTTCAAACCCCATTCCTGTCGCTCTGCTACGATACAACTGCTTCACCCCAACAGAGCCTGCTTCACCCCAACAGAGCCTGCTATGAATGCTCAGACTAGTTAGCATGCCCACCAATGACAGCAGGTAAATGATTTTCCTGGAATATTAAGTTGTTCCTCTGCCATTAGCACGATTAAAAGGTTGATTGACAACAATAAGACCCTCCTCCTGACTCTGGTTATTTTTGACTGGGAGCGTTTACTCAGGGAGGAGGTGGAAGAGCTTTACTTTTAATAGATTGTCTCATATTACACTGTGATGACATGGTGTCAATTTAGACAAATATGTAAAAAATATTTTTGTAAAATTTACTGTAGCAAGGAGAAGTGGTAATGTGTTTCAGATGCTCTTTGCCCACTTGAGCAGATAACCTTCAATGTGTTGAAGGTTATGTTTAATTCTGGGCAAATGGGATCTGATAATCTGTACTGTTTTACTAACTCTCTGCAAGCTCTTCTTGTGTCCTGCTGTACAGTTGGAGTACCTATGCTGTACAGCATTAAGCCAGTGACAGAATCTGGTCATCAGCTCCTTAGACAGACCACACTGCCTGAATGTTCTCCAAAAAAATTAGTCTTTACTGTATTTTTTAAGTCAGTTATTTGGTGTTGAAACTCCAGGTGAGATCCTCTCCAAAAATCTGACCCTCTCCAATTGCTCACCATCCATCCTCAGCCCCAGGATGGATTTTCCTCTTTATCCTGAAGTCAAGATTATCTACTTTGTCTCCTTGGTGTTCAGGTTGAGGTCATTCTCCCTTCACTATTGGTTTGCCATGTCATTAGCTATTAAGCCTTTTCTGTATAGGCTCCCTCTTTGCTGTCGTAGATAACAATTTGTCATCCACATATTTGAACAAGTCGGTTCTGTTCTGGGTTGCTGTGAAGTCATGGGCAAACAGGGAGTAAAGGATGGGGCTGAGGACACAGCCTGAGTCTTGTACTCAGCACAACATACCTGTGCTGAGTGTGACTGCGGAGAAGGTAATTTCTCCAGGTGAGGTTGCTGAAAACATGTTGGGGTCTGCTGGTTAAAAGATCCTGATCACAGTCCTGTTCCTAGTACCAGGGATTCTAGCCGCTCCGCCAACTTGTCAGGAGTAGACATCAACATAAAAGCTGAGCAATAATCCACAAACAGCATCCTTACGTCGGTATTAAGTAAAAACAGCAGAGCTGGGATAAAATCAGCTTTTTGCAAATCTGAGGTAAGTCTCAAGTCTTTACTCGAAACTTGACTCAGGACTTGAGGATAAAGACAATCAAGTGAAATCTGACGTCAAGACATCCAAAAATTGAGTCAAGCCCAAGTCTGAAACTTGAGTAATTTTTTCCCAATGTTGCAATTATATGTTAAATGTAAATAATAGACAATATGTTCTTTTTAAATCTGTACATGTCTCAAATCTTGATAAAACATGTGCAGCTGAAAACTTTTTTTTAGAATTGCACCTTTATATTGCACAGTTCAGTTAAACTTACCTGCAAGAATAGCAAACCAGAATAATTGCAGATGAGACAATGACTCATAGTGTCAAGGATAAATGGAATGCTATAACTTCACTCAAATTCTTTTTCTTCTGCTGCAGCTTCTTTGAAAACAATAGCAGGGGAACATCTTACAAGAATTACAGTAACTGGTTTTCTCACTGTCTAGCCACTAGAGACTAACTCAAGTAAAAAAATAATATGACTTTGTAGTCATCTTGAATTGAGGTGTGGATGTGAAAACATCCAAAGGGAAAATACTTAATTTTTTGTGCTGAGACAAAAACGTAAAATCCATTTATGCAGAATGCATAAATGGATTTATAAACTTTGATGAAGAAATTTTCCTTTTAAATCTAGAGCAAAGTATATGTAATTGAGACAATATTTTAAAGTAATTGGACTGAATTCTGACACTGAATAACCAATGATTATGTAAATGTGCTTAAAAAAACAAAATATACAATATGAAGTACTTCAGTTGATGCATAGCCAAATATCCACCATATTTTGTCTTACAAACATTTTTTTTCAGCTATTATTTTTTTTTACATTCATTCTATTCACATAATTGAGATGGAAACTCTTCCCACTCTCTGATGGAATATATGAGAGCGTTTACAAATCCTCCTTCTGTTCGCTAATTGGCAAGGATGAAATTCTGAGAAATCAAGTTCAATGAGAGAAATCCCAGACAGAGCACCGCAGGGAGCCGAGAATCCAGGGAAATTGCATTAGAAGGCAAAAACCAGTCAGTGCAGTTTTGGTTGTTAAAACATGTCAATAGAGTCAATACATTTGTACATGTTAGAGATTCTTATGCTTGTAAAATATTTAAACACTTTTTATAATTAAAACAAATGTAGGTACAGTATATAAACAACTATATTTGTATGATCAAATTATGGTATTTAATTGCACCTGCAAGGGTTCTTGTTAGAATACTATGCATCACATAATATGCAATTATTGAAAAAAAGGTTAACAGTGCAACTAATAATAATACTCACACAATTCATGAAATGACATGACAAGCAGATTTATTTTGTTGTGCAAAGCTTCTTCATGATCTAATTACTTCTTTTACATGGACAGGACATTAATGGCATTTATTTCTAAAATATCCAATCATAAATATTGTGGGGCTTTAGATAAAATTTTACAGGAGTTGACAATCTTTTTAAAGATTCAGCCTCGCGATACGTGATATTATCGGCACAGTATCAGCCGATATTACT